CTCAAGCTCATTATCTTCTCCTATGATGCCTGGTGACTGCCAGTCAGAAGTCAGCTGAGAAGAAAACAGATCAGTGATGACACAGTGAAGCAAGCTTGTGTGAAATACATTATGAATTTCTGATGATGTGTCAAGGCAGTAGTTATGGCTATCTAGAACTTCTATCACTTTATACCTGGCATGGCGGTAGTCTAGTGTATAAGATGAATATATGATTCATATATTCTTAAGATTCAATCACACAAGGTCTTCTATCTTATACTGCTCTGCAGAATCTCATCAGATATTGATTTGATCTTCTTAATCTTGTTTCATAATTGTCATGAAGGTCTCTGCTCAGTTATGAGTATCTCAGAGCTTCATTACTATATTATTGACAATCTGAATCAGACTGCAGAGGTTCAGTGTGAACTGTGTGATCTCTAGAAGATTTAACACTTTCATATAATACCTGTGTGTAAGAAAGAACAGGCTTACATCTGTTGAAATGACATCTCAACTGTTGATAGCAACCTCTGTGTGTAGAAGAAGATCATGTCAATCATCTTATAAGTAGTTACAGAACTTATGAAGATAATTCTTTACAGTCTGAATTGTCTGTTCTGATACATCATTGATCTCAGAATGATAGACAGTTAACAGACAGTGTGTAATCTTGAGAACTTGACAGATTCTTGTTCAGAGAGCACTCACAAATTGACAGTCTTAATTCAATACTATTAATCTCAGTAATTCATGTATCTGATAGAATGAACTCTGTAAGAAGACTTCAGTGACTTGTTCAGTGTTCATCTTATCACAAGATTTCAATATTACATTCTTACTTAGTTGATTAATGATAATCAGAATGTTTCTACAGCTCTTACTCTCAGATAGATTAATATAATAGTAAAGTCAATTACTACATCTCATCAGATTCTATCAGAGACATTGAGTGATTTCAGTAGATCTTTTCTACAGTTCTTTCATAAGATAATAGAAGAACAGTGATTGTAGTTTTGAATGAAGTGTCTGATACTGTTTAATATCTCAGGTCAGTAGAATTCTCAGAAGATTATTCTATACAGTTGTTCACAGTCTGAATAACTGATTATATATGAATCATGTATCTCTTACATTATCTGAGTGTGTAAGGGTTCAGAGTGAGAGACTCAGTGTTGTTCATGAAATTGTAGAGTGTTATTATTATTAATTAAGTATTCTGAGATATCAGTTCTGATACATAGTTCTGAAGAAAATCAGAGTGCTTCTTGACATACTGCTTCAGTGAGAATCTGAAGAAGTTCATCAGCCTGAGCTGCTGTATATCATAGTTCATTCAGTGTAGAGAAAGTGAAGATATCAATGTCAGTTCTAATTGAAGAAGCATGTATGATGCTGTGAGCTGTTCTATCTTGATCAATTAATATCTTCAGATTCAAGAGTCAGTGCTCTCAGTTCATTCAGCAAGTATCTGTTACATCAGATGACATATCTTACTCTCATTGTAAGAGAGTATCTGTCATTGAGTTCTGACTGCCAGAATGATAGTGTATTGTAAAATGAAAGTGACTTAGAAACTCAGATCATTGCATCTGTTGTTCAGTAAGTTTATAAGTAGTTATAAAGTATTTAAGATTCTTATAATCTGTGATTATCTCAAATTCAGAGACACTTCAGAGTTCAGAGTCTCATTCTTCTAAACAGTGTATAATCATGAGAAGTTTCTTATCATAGATCTCATAATTGCATTCAGTGAGACTCAGTTTCTTAGACATGAAGACATATGATTGTAGAACATCTTCATCATTATATTACAATATCACTTCTTCTGTCATGTAGTCAGAGAAATCAGCTTCAATAACTATCTTATGATCAGAATCAAATGTTATCAGCAGAGAGGTATTAATAAATATCTTCTTTATCTGTGTAAATGCAGCTTCAGTGTTCACTGATCATTGAAATACTGAGTCTTTCTTAGTGAGATCTGTAAGTGATCTTGTGATATCTGAGAAGTTTCATATAAATCACTGATAGAAGTTAGCAAATCTGATGAATCTTCATATATCTTTCACAGTATGCAGAGCTTCTCATTCAAGAATGACAGAGACTTTCTCAGAATTCATTTGAATTCTCTTGCCAGCTTCTATAATAAAACTCAGATACTTGATACTCTTGACTTCAAAATCACACTTATCAATATCTATCAGTAGTTCTGCTTCTTGTAGCTGTTATAATATCTTTTGCACATATTTCTGATGTTCTTTTCTGAATCTATTAGTGAAGATGAGAATATTATCTAGATAAGCAGACACAAACTCATCAAGAAAGTCTCAAAGTGCTCAGTTGATATACTTCTGAAATGTACTGAGAGCATTAGTCAGTCTAAAGAGTGTGACTATTCATTCAAAGAGGCTATAATATGTTCAGAATGCTGTAAGCCATTCATCTTCTTCAGTGATATGAATCTTATGAAATGTGATGATGATATCTAGTTTTATAAATCATTGAGCTCACTCAATCCATGCTAGGATTTCATTGATGAGGGATAAGAGATATTGATCTTTCTTTGTCAATCTGTTCAGATCTTGATAGTTCATACAGAATCAGAGTTCTTCACCTGATTTCTTTGTAAAGAGAATAGAGACTGCAGTGAAGAAGTTGCTAACATATATGAATTCTTTATTCAACAGATTATTGAGTGTCTTTTGAAGAAGAAGAAGTTCATCTCAGAACATGTTATAAAGAGAGCTTCATAGCAGTTCAGAGTTCTTATCATTCTTTTTCTCTAACTTGATACTGTGATTCACTCCAGAATCTCATAAGAGAGATATGTTCATAATATTGTCTTGTCAAAAGATATCTAGATATTCATGATATTATTGAGAAAGTTTCATACAAGAATCTGTTGTTGTAACACAGAATAACTTTTCTAGAGTCTTTTTAATATCAGTCAGACTGATGAAATAGATTGACACATGATCTTGCTGTCAGTGACTCTGTCAGTGATTTTGATGATGACTTCTTTTTCAGAGTATTTTGTACGCGTTGGCAGAGATCTGTGTCAGGTTCATGATCTTGTGAATATCATCTTCATGAACTCTATCATTGTTAGAGAATATCAAGCTTCAGTTTTAAGCATTCAACAAAATGCCTTGTTCAGATAGTTAGACAAGTTCTAACATAAGATCATAATCAAGATTATCAACTTCATATGTATAGACATCTTCACATTGATATTCTTCTACATCTATGATCAGCTTCACCATGTAACAGATACAAATGTCTTTTAAATCATCAAATCCTGCAAGGAGTCAGAGTTTTGATAGAGAAATACACTGAAGATTATGATGTCTTACAACTGAAGATTTTATCATTGCATAGTAACATAGATCACTGTCTATCATGACCTTCATATTATACATGTTATTAATCACAGTGAATATAAGAATTGCATTCATTGCTATCTTCTCTTCAAATTGTTATTATCTGACCTCTTCAAGCTTCTGTTTATGAATTTGAACAGAAGCTAATCTTTTCTCTGTTTCACTGAGGCATTCTCATAGTTATTCTCTGAATCTTTCTCTAATGCAATGTGATTGATGTGGACAGATGCTGATCCATTCTTCAAATGAGGAGATACATAGGTTAATTGACAGTTGAAAGCAATGTGTTCTGATTGATTACAGTTGATGTATACTCTATGTTGATGTTGATCAGTGACTTCTTTAAGAGTGATCTCAGAGACTCAGAAGCTTGTTTAGATGACAGAGACTCTTGCTTATATATAGATATTTAAGTCTACTCAATTCATGACATCTGCATCATTGTTATTCCTCAGTGCAGGTGTATAAGTCACTGAGATGTAACATCTTCTGTCACTGTTCTGTATGTTCTTGAGCTTGATAAGATGATCATTCATTGTCTGAAGCTGTGTGTAGAAGCCTTCATAAGTTGAGTCTTTATCTGTGCTTACAAGAGTCTGTAAGAGTTTGAAAGTCAATGTCTTCTTGAGCATGCTAATCTTCATTTAATTCTTTCAAGACTGATTATCTGCTTCTAGAATCTTAATGTTGAAGTCAGAGATGAATGTTGTAAGAGAAGTATTTCTCTGTTGAGTGCTCTGTAATCAATCTAATACTTTCTATTACATAGCAGTGTCTTGAAATAGAATATCAAGATATTTCATGATGTTGTCAGAAGTTTACAACACTGATTCACATGCTTTTATTCATGAATGAAACTTCTGTTTCACACAATTCTTCAATCATTCATTGATATATCAATCTTAATTGATTAATAAATCAATGAAATCTTCATCTACACTCAGTTTTGTAAGCATTTTCATCCTTTATGATGAGTAGAGAGTGAGATCAGAAGCATTGAAATATATAAGAGTATCTAAGTGTTCTTTCAGTGCTTTTATATTTGATTCTGTAGATGTTGAAATTGCATGAGTTTCTTGTTATGATAATTGTTGAATCTCTTCATATTGACATTATTGAGTTGCATGCATATCAGCTATTTATTATTATTGTAGTTTCAACATTGCTCAGAGCCACTGTGGTACTGTGTCTATGCTCATGTTTAAGAGTTTCATATTATCATTAGACATGATTATATTGATTGTCAGATGTATGATATCTGTGAAATCTGAAGAAGTGTAATCATATTCTTATACATCTGAGTGTCAGAACTCTCAAGTCTTTTGCTGACATTCTCTTGTATGTAAGATCTTATTCTCTTCATAAGATCTTGTTACAGGGTCAGAGTGACTGATGAGCAAGCTTCTATCTGAGAACTCAGTGTCTGCTTAACTGTGTGACTGTTTCTCTATTTCTTACATGTTGTTACACATTTAAATATCTCTTGATGAATAATCATTTCTAATAAGAAGATGATGAATGTTTTTATAGTGTTAGAGGCCTACACTGAATAGATCAGTATAATATTGATAGGTCTTATATAACAAAGATAAAAACATTAGAGAAGAAAAGAAGAGAAAGTGTGAGAATCAGTGATCAAGGTGGATATTTATACATGTATGTGATGGTGTATGTGGTGGAGCTTCGGGGCGGAAGAATATACGCGCGTTCATAGCGGCCGAGGATCGGCAATTGGGAATGGCTGAGAATCGGAGTGTATGCTACGCGCGTTCGTAGCGGCCGCGGATCGGCGATCGGGAATGGCCGAGGATCGGAGTGTACGCGTTCGTAGCGGCCGCGGATCGGCGATCGGGAATGGAAGAATCTATGGAGTGTAATGAAATAGTCTATATGATTGATCGGGCGCAGCCCGCCACAGAATCTCATATTTAATTGATTTAAATTATACTTCTCTTTCAATCTGGCTCTGAGACTATTGTATAATACACAGTGCATTACAATATACTCAGAATTCTCATTTATATTGCAGAATGAGCATTCTATTGAGTCAAATCTATCATCAGATCTTTGTATATAAGATTTAAAATAGTCATGTTCTAGTTTCAGCTGTATTATAGATGAGAATATTTTCTTTTTATATTTAATTAAACAAGATTTTCACTTGGGTTTTGTTTCAAATCTTGAATAATGTATACTCTTCTTTTGTTTCTACCAGCTTTCATTTCACTTATTTAAACAAGATTCTTTTATTTTTCTCTTTATAAAAGATCAGAATACAATTTTTTGAATAGATCTGCTTAATTCTGCACTCTTTTTTACAGCTGAATCAGCCAATTCATTATCATGAATATTCATATGAGTAGAAACTCAGTTCAGATGTATTATCAGCTTTGATGTTCTTCTCTTTCAAATTTTCAAAACAGAGTTTAAGATCAGTTCAAGATTCATTTGATTATTATGAATCTGACTATTTCTAAGTCTTTTTAAAGCAGTTTGACTATCAGAGAATATTTATATCTCTTTTAAATCATTTTCTCTTTTATAAGATTTTATTTCTATGAGTTTGAAAGCTTTCACTATTGCAAATAGTTCAGCATCAAAGACTTTAAATTCACAGTCTAGATTTCAGAAATCTGAGATAAAATTGATATTATCTTCAGTATAAGCAATATCTGTGTCTAATCTATTCAGATTCTTATTCTTTGAGTCATCTGAATAAATCAGAATAGAGTCTTTTATATTAATTGCAGAAATTCTCTTCAAATACTGTTTATATTCTTTCTCTTTTAATAGTTCACTTATTTATAAGTCTATAAGAGATTCAAGCTTTTCTCTTCAGAGAGATAACTTCTCATGATTCACTTTTTCAATATTTAAAGAAGAAAATTGATTTTTAATCAGAGAGTATAGTCTGTAAAGTTGAGAAGACATTTTCTTTGAAGAATCATTTTCATTTCAATCAAGAAATCTATTTCAATCCAGTTCATTTTCAGAGTTAATTAATGAAAATGAAGAAGAGACTCTTTCTCTGATTATATAATTTAAGCTCATCTTTATAACTCTCAGTGCATAGTTTATACAGGCCTTTTCAAATCTAATAGCAGAAGAGAGAATTGAAGCTTCAATTTTCATTACTTTAATAGAAGATGATTTGAATACTTCTAGAATTCTTCTCAAGACTCTGTTTTGCAGACTTTGAAAGAGTTCAGTGAAATTTTCTTAATTATTTCATCAAACTTGAACTTCATAATCAGCTACTGATGTAATACAGGCTATATATAACTGTCTTATAGTCTGGAAGAATAGATCTCTCTCTGTATTTAATAGTCTGATTATGTTGTTCAATAGTCTTTCTGTCTTGACAGTTCTTTGTTGAATGTGATATTTAAAATTCAACTTGAAGTTTAATCATACTTCTAATCATTTGATATTTACACTGAGTTTAATCTCTCTATTTAAAAGAGTTAGAGATAGTTCTTTCTCATTGAATCTAGAAAAGAAATGAATTAACTCAGTTTTATTCATATTAAATTGAATTTGATTGATATCTGCTCTAACAAAGATTTTCTTTGCAGCTTCTTCAATTACTTTCAAATTCTCTTTGATAGTTTTTGAGCTGTAGACTAGATCAATATCATTCACATAACTCAGAGATTGCACTATTCTCATATTTCTATTTTTGAATAGATATGCAGTGTATATTGCAAATAAAATGAATGAGATTGAAGATCTCTGTGATACTTCTATTTTTATCTCAGTCTTATCTTGTTTCATTCTATCAAAGAAGAGTTGTATAATTCTTTTAGACATAAAACAGTTAACTCATTTTATTAGAGAAAGTGGCAGTTTTAATATCTTCAATGTCTGAATTAACTTTGACTTTGAAACATAATCAAATGCTTCTTTTATATCAATAAAAACTGCAGTTGAGACCAGACTCTCATGTTTTGCTATTTAAATATTATGAATAACTGAGAGAACAGTGTCAATTGCAGAACACTGTTTTCTATCTCTCATTTATTCACTGAATAAAAGAGAATCATCTATAGAACTTATAAAAGATAGTTGAGTAGCTATTATCTTTTCTAAAACCTTTTCTAGGCAGTTCAATAGAGATATTACTCTATATGACTTAGGAATTGAAGTTTTTCTATTAGGTTTTGCAAGAATCACTTCAGTGGCTTCTCTCCAGCATTCAGGATGATATTCATTTTTCAAGAGATTGAAAAAGAGCTCAAAATATTCATTCTTTAAGTAGGAAGTTTGAGAATGTTGAATCAGTGATTGAAAATGAAGTGGTTGAAATCTGTGAAGTATAATGAAATAGTTCATATGATTGATTGAGCGCAGCCCGCTATATTAGCCCTCTCTTTTCAGAAGCAGTTCTCATCAGACAAGAACTACTGTTTTGAATAATGTGAAACTCAGAGTTCAGGTCAAGCAATCATACTCAACTCATTTCACAAGATATTATCAGCTGCAGCTGTGAGATCTCTCATTGAGAATATTCTCAATCTTTCACTCAAGCTCATTATCTTCTTCTATGATGCCTGGTGACTGTCAGTCAGAAGTCAGTTGAGAAGAGAATGAATTGATAATAATGCAGTAAAACAAGCTTGTATGAAAGACATTATAAATCTCTGATAATATGTCAAGATAATAGTTATAACTATCTAGAACTTCTATCACTTTATACTTAATATAACAGTAATTTAGTGTACAAGATTAATGTATGATCTGTATATTTCTAAGATTCAATTATATCAGATCTTCTATCTTATATTATTCAGTGAAATCTCAGTGAATATTAGTTCAATCTTCTTGATTCTGTTTAGTACTCATTATGAAGATCTCTGCTTAATCACTGATATCTCAGAGTTTTATTACTGTATTATCAGTAAGCTGAATTAAACTGTGAAAGTTCAGTATGAAATATATAATCTCTAGAAGATTCAGTACTTTTATATAATATTTATACATAAGAAAGAATGAGCTTATATCTGTTAAAATAATATCTTAATCATTAATAGCAATCTCTGCATGTAAAAGAAGATTATATCAATTATTCTATAAGTAATTACAGAACTTATAGAGATAATTCTTCACAGTCTAAATTATTCATTCTAACATATTATCAGTCTCAGAGTGATAGATAGTTAATAGACAGTATATAATCTTGAGAACTTAATAGATTCTTATTCAGAGAGTACTTATAAATTAACAGCTCTGATCTGATATTATAAATCTCAGTAATTCATATATCTGATAAAACAGACTCTGTAGAAAAGCTTTAATAACTTGTTCAGTATTCATCTTATTACAAGATTTTAATATTATATTCTTACTTAATTAGTCTATAATAATCAGAACATTTATATAATTCTTACTCTCAGAGAGATTAACAGTGAAGTTAATTATTATATCTTATCAGATTCTATTAGAGATATTAAGTGATTTCAGTAGATCTTTTCTACAGTGCTTTTATAAAATAATGAAAGAACAGTAATTACAGTTTCAGACAAAGTATCTGATACTATTTAATATCTTAGATTAATAGAACTCTTGAGAGATTATTCTATACAGTTATTCACAGTCTGAATAATCAGTTATATATAAATTATATATCTCTTATATTATCTGAGTGTGTAAGAATTCAGAGTGAGAGACTCAGTATTGTTCATAAAATCATAGAGTATTATTATTATTAATTGAACATTCTGAGATGATAATTCTTATATATAGTTCTGAGAAAAATCAGAGTGCTTCTTATTATACTGCTTCAGTGAGTACTTGAAGAAGTTCATCAGTTTAAGCTGCTATATATCATAGCTCATCTAATATAGATTTAAGAGAAGTTGAGATATCAGTGATAGTTCTAATTAGAGAAGTATATATAGTATTATGAGCTGTTTTATCTTGATTAACTAGTATCTTTAGATTTAAGAGTCAGTGCTCTTAATTCATTCAGTGAGTATCTATTATATTGAATGATATATTTTACTCTTATTATGAGAGAGCATCTGTTATCAAGTTCTGACCATTAGAATGATAGTATATTACAAAATGAAAACAGCTTAGAAACTCTGATTATTATATCTGTTATTTAATGAGTTTACAGATTATTATGAAGTATTTGAGATTCTTATAATCTATAATTATCTCAAATTTGAAGATACTTCAGAGTTCAGAGTCTTATTCTTCTAGACAGTGTATAATTATAAGAAGTTTCTTATCATAAATCTTACAATTGTATTCAGCAGAACTCAGTTTCTTAGATATAAAGATATTTAATTATAGAATATCTTCATTATTATATTATAATATCACTTCTTCTATTACATAGTCAGAGAAATCAGCTTTAATAACTATCTTATAATCAGAATTGAATATTATCAGTAGAGAGATATTAATAAATATCTTCTTTATCTGTATAAACATAGCTTCAGTATCTGCTGATTATTAAAATACTGAGTCTTTTTTAATGAGTTCTGTAAGTGATCTTATAATATCTGAGAAGTTTTATATAAATTACTGATAGAAGTTAGTAAATTCAATAAAGCTTCATATATCTTTCACAGTATATGAAGCTTTTCATTTAAGAATAGCAGAGATCTTCTCAGAATTTATTTAAATTCTCTGATTAACTTCTATAATAAAATCTAAGTATTTAGTACTCTTAACTTTGAAATCATACTTATTAATATCAATTAATAGTTCTGCTTCTTATAGTTATTGTAATACTCTTTATATATACTCTTAATACTCTTTTCTGAATTCATTGATAAAGATGAGAATGTTATCTAGATAAATAGATACAAACTTATTAAGAAAATCTCAGAGTGTTCAGTTAATATACTTCTGAAATATACTAAGAATATTAGTCAGTTCAAAGAGTGTGACTATTCATTCAAAGAGATTATAATATA